TATCTGGTTTAAAACGTTGTGATGGCCCATAGACGGGCTGACAAAAAGTGCAATTTCACGGACGGACATTATCATTGCTGTCCACAAGTTCTTTGATTGGGGATTATGATCGTTATATACTACTGAAAGAACACTCCCATTGGGATTAATGGAGGTCAAACTTTGAGGGCTCATATATTTGTAGAAAATGCTTATAATGACCTGATATTAACAGCATTCCTATTTTAAAGGATGCTGAAATGATAAAAAAAAAAAAGAAAACTGAAAAATTATGTTTCTGTTAATATGTAAAAGTAATCAATTCAGATTCACCACTTCGTCAATTTTGTCCGTTGTTTGTATTTTTTTAACTAGACCTTAATAAAAAAAATTGTAAAAATTGTGACTTTCAGTTTTGACGCCTTCCCTCAAAGTTTGCGAACAGTCTGAAATTTGACTAAAATAAACATTCTTCTTTTTCAAAATTAAAATTTCAATACAAGAAAAGAGGTAAATATTTCATGAATTAATGTAACTTATAGGTTTAAAATCCAAAAGATTGACAAAACTGACATAACCGGGAATTTGAATATTGCAAAGTCTAATGAACATAATGAAAATATTGAAAATTTTTAAAGAACACGGACACTAAATAGTTTTCTATTATGTATAAATTATTGTTGCAACTATCTGGGACTAAATCTTTCCATTTTATGTGGCTTAAGTATATAGAAAATATCTCAAAACATCGTGGTCGGATTTCTTTCGTGTGGATTTACTATAGTACAAGACATATTATGAGAACAACTGGCTCAAAATTACAGTTAGAACCTCTTATAGGACAGTTCATTAAAACTTGGATTTCAAATGTAAACAACTATTTTAAAACATTAAATTATAGAATTTATACTTTGAAAACTATTTCAATATTCTGGAAGACAATTTGAAAGATATGTTCACCCTCTGTAAGTTTAGAATGGTCAATTATAAGCTTCCAATTGAACGTTGAAGATTGTCTTACATTCCAGAAAAAAACAGGACTAGATACATGATTTTTGTATTGGCTTTGAATAAGCTTTGAGTAACTGCGAGTACTCTCAGATCTGTACTTTGTGCCTTTTGTGTTTTGTGTTGTGTGTTTTTGTTAGTTGTTTTTTTGTGCTTTGTATCAACTAAAATTGAGAATGGAAACGGGGAATGTGTCAAAGAGGCAACAACCCGACCAAAGAGCAGAAAACAGCCCAAGGGCACCAATGGGTCTTCAACACAGCGAAAAAAACCCGCACCCGGAGGCAGGCTTCAGCTGGCCCCTAAACAAAAATGTGTACTAGTTCAGAGGAAACATATTTTTTTAGTTTGGTCTTATGTTTTGTTGTTACACCACTGTCCTAGGTTAGTGTGAGGGATGGGCTTCGGCTACATGTTTAACACCGCCTCATTCTATATGTGCTGGTCCCAAGTCCGGAGTCTGTGGTTGTCGTTTATCAAATTTGTTTTTTTGGTTAATGTTTTGTTTAGTTTGTTCCTGTGTTGTGATGTTGCAACACTGTCCCAGGTTAGGAGAAGGGTTGGACGCTCGCTAACATGTTTTATCCCGCTACATTCTGTATGTTCTTATTCCAAGTCACGAGCCTGTAATTGAGTGGTTGTCGTTTGGTGTTGTATCTTAGATTTGTTTTTCGTTTATAATTGTGTACATAGATTAGGCCGTTAGTTATTTTCGTTTATTGTTTTGTACATAGATAAGGCTGTTATTTTTTTGGTTTGAATTGTTTTACATTTGTCATTTCGGGGTTTGTTATAGCTTGCTATGCGATATGAGTTTTTATCATTTTTGAAGGTCGTATAGTGACCTATAGTTGCTAACTTCTACGTCATTTGGTCTCTGGTTGAGAGTTGTCTCATTGGCAATCATACCATATCTTCTTATTTTTGTATAGTCAACTAATAACATTGAAGACGAATATAACTTGCTTCTTGAATGTCGATTTTTCTTCTGCTGATAGAAGAGACTGTTTTGATATATAATATATTTACCATTGTAATGCTTAGAAGTTTAGGGATCCTGTTCCTTTATAAAAAGAAGTCCAAACAATAAAAAAATTGGTTATCTGGGATTTGTATCGATCTGATGAGTTAAGCCATTTCAAACTGGTTTTTATAGTTTGTTCTTATGCTGTGCTGTAAAACCACTGTCCCAGGTTAGGGGGGGGGGGGGTTGAGCGCTCACAAACATGTTTAATCCCGCCAAATTCTTAATGTGTCTGTCCCAAGTCAGGAGCCTGTAGTTCAGTGGTTGTCGTTGGTTCATGTCTGTCATATTTGTTTTTTGTAAGTTGTTTTGTTATTAATTAGGCCGTTAGTTTTCTCAATTGAATTGTTTCATCTTTTTAATGTCGAGTCCTTTTATAGCCGACTATACGGTATGGGTTTTTCTCTTTGTTGAAGGCCATACATAATTACTTACAACCACTTCATTTGAACTTTGGTGGATAGCTGTTTCATTGGCAATCATACCACATCTCCTTATCTTTATATAATTAACAAATTCAATCTGACATCTACTGGTAACCTCTAAATGTACTTTCATTTAGTATATTGTTATTTTGGAATTCTATTGTATACCATCTTTCATCTTTTTACTATTTTTACTACTTTTCCTATTGCTTTTTTTACATTGTCCCCTCAACATCGCTTTTACCTTTGTGTTATTGTATTTATCATGTTTTTGTTATGTCTGTATAATTATATTGTTTCATGATCGGTTAAATCATAATAAAGCATATATATAAAGAATACAATAAATACAATTTAATAAATTTTGCATTGTTTTCTAAAACATGTATCAACGGATATTCATAACCAAAAATTTATTTATTCGTATCTGAAATCTAATTCAAACAATAGAATGTTGGTGTTTGTTTAGAATGGCCTCCTTATTCATAATTTTGATAAATGCTCAAATCTTCCGGCATCTTTCAGAATTCCAGCTTAGAGCTATCTCTACGCACTTAAGATTGGGTTACATGCTCAGAAATGCGACATAAGGGTGTTCCAGTATCAAAATATACAAATGAAACTGTAGAACTGTAAATGTATGTAAGATTTAAAAGACTTGATGAAAACTAACATTATAATAGAGAAAAATAAATTGACATCAAATTGTTCATCCCTTTTGTACATTATCTGCATGCAAGTTTAACATAGCTCGACAAGATAGTATAGCTAATATATTCTATTGACCTTTCTGGTCACAGATATGCTTGTTTAAATCGTATTTTTCATATATCTTCCAAAGCAGCAGCTCAGTAATTAGTTCGGGTTAAACAAAGGAAGGTAATTCATAGGGCGTTTTTTTTTTCAGCTGGTACGGACGCCGTTCATTTTCTGTAAATTTTCTAAACTTTATTTTACATGTTAATATTTTCCTGTAAATTGAATATTTTCAAATGAATATTTATCGCGAATTCTGTGATTATGCATGTCTGAGGAATCCTATCATTTACAGTGAAGTCTTTGTGTTTTGTTGACTTCCATGTATCTGTGATTGTGCATGTCTGAGGAATCCTATCATTTACAGTGAAGTCTTTGTGTTTTGTTAAATTCCATGTATCTGTGATTGTGCATGTCTGAGGAATCCTATCATTTACAGTGAAGTCTTTGTGTTTTGTTGACTTCCGTGTATCTGTGATTGTGCATGTCTGAGGAATCCTATCATTTACAGTGTAGTCTTTGTGTTTTGTTAAATTCCATGTATCTGTGATTGTGCATGTCTGAGGAATCCTATCATTTACAGTGAAGTCTTTGTGTTTTGTTGACTTCCATGTATCTGTGATTGTGCATGTCTGAGGAATCCTATCATTTACAATGAAGTCTTTGTGTTTTGTTGACTTCCGTGTATCTGTGATTGTGCATGTCTGAGGAATCCTATCATTTACAATGAAGTCTTCGTGTTTTGTTGACTTCCGTGTATCTGTGATTGTGCATGTCTGAGGAATCCTATCATTTACAGTGTAGTCTTTGTGTTTTGTTGACTTCCATGTATCTGTGATTGTGCATGTCTGAGGAATCCTATCATTTACAGTGAAGTCTTTATGTTTTGTTGACTTCCATGTATCTGTGATTGTGCATGTCTGAGGAATCCTATCATTTACAATGAAGTCTTTGTGTTTTGTTGACTTCCGTGTATCTTTGATTGTGCATGTCTGAGGAATCCTATCATTTACAATGAAGTCTTCGTGTTTTGTTGACTTCCGTGTATCTGTGATTGTGCATGTCTGAGGAATCGTATCATTTACAGTGTAGTCTTTGTGTTTTGTTGACTTCCATGTATCTGTGATTGTGCATGTCTGAGGAATCCTATCATTTACAGTGAAGTCTTTGTGTTTTGTTGACTTCCATGTATCTGTGATTGTGCATGTCTGAGGAATCCTATCATTTACAGTGTAGTCTTTGTGTTTTGTTGACTTCCATGTATCTGTGATTGTGCATGTCTGAGGAATCCTATCATTTACAGTGTAGTCTTTGTGTTTTGTTGACTTCCATGTATCTGTGATTGTGCATGTCTGAGGAATCCTATCATTTACAGTGTAGTCTTTGTGTTTTGTTGACTTCCATGTATCTGTGATTGTGCATGTCTGAGGAATCCTATCATTTACAGTGTAGTCTTTGTGTTTTGTTGACTTCCATGTATCTGTGATTGTCCATGTCTGAGGAATCCTATCATATACAGTGAAGTCTTTGCGGTTTGTTGACTTCCATGTATCTGTGATTATGGTGCCATGGTCATTTTTAGTTTGTGAGCTAGCCCCCATTAATATACTGTATACATTAACGTAACAGATGATTAAAAAAAACAACACTTCAAATACACAGAGCACGTTAAGGAAGGCCCAATGGTCGGAAATTTGGTCTCTACCCACTGTTTGCTTATGGATCTCATTTTTGGTGTAATACATGTTCACACACACACAGGACATCTCAACAAAGATTTAGATCTAAATATAGAAAATTTCTCTTACCTTTTCCTTTTAGTCCTAAATTCCAAATAGTTATGCAACCGCAGAACACTTGCAATGCACCTGTAACACAATATTTCAGAATTAACCTTCAAAGCCTCAATGTGAAAATCTCAAGAAAGAAAGTTTTTTGGCAAGAATTTCTTAAGATAACAACTTGTTCTATAAACCAAACTGAAATCATACCCTTGGGGATTTTATCGGATTTTGTATTTAATTGGCGTGAATATGAATAAATACTGAAATGAAACTTTAAATATGATGTACACAGCATCTCGGTTCCTGCCTCATTTACTATTATATGATAAACAATTACATAAACTGTTCTAACATCTGCAGTGAGAAATGAGACAGTTTGAAATCTGTGAGGCCATCTGCAGGTTTATAGCAGACACTACAAACATTGTGAGAAGGCAGACATATTTTCACCTAATTTACACAATGTTTAAACAAGAAAACATATCTTTCATGATAGATGAATTTTGATTAATTTTTAAGGTGCTAACGAGTCAAACACTTATACATGTTATAAGTACGAATACTTTGATATGAAGAGGAAATACCGAACACACGGCACCAAAAAGGGAATCAAAAATCGAAAATGAAGATTATAATTAACAAACGAACTATTGCGAAAAATCAAAAGGAACGAAGATATTTTATGGATGAATGGCTGTTTAACGGCCCGACCGTGCAAGGGCTGTATAGCCAGTCAAGGTCGTTAAAAACTTCCATTTGTTGTTGTTTAACGTCCAGCGGCAAATTAAATGCACATTCGGGACGAGAACATGTTAATGCAAAATGACTATTTTCCCTGCTTTGTACTATACCGATACGCTGAGCCAGATTTTTAACATGCTATTTCACAAGGTAACAGTCCGCAGGAAGACATTTCACACTACCTGGACACATTATTCTGACTCCGAGGCAACCAGTTATTTGCTCTTACTCCTTAATGCCGCGTGTTTAGAGGAGAAGCAACAAATACCAATTTTACAGTCTTTGGTTTGACCCAGCCGGGGTTCTAACCTACAACCTCCAGCACTCTAGGCGAAGACGCTACCACGAGACCAACGAAACGGTGAAATTGATTGTTAACTAACACCACTCAGTGCATGTATATCTTATTTCGTTTATTTCTCGATACAACTGATTTATCTGAAATTATATTTCATTTCCATGAAAAAGTTTACTTCATGCAACTGTCACATAAATTTTTTAAGATTTTGATTTAAAAAACTTAACTTACTTAAAAAACAATACGTTATTATCATAATTAAAAATCATCATCACACATTCTACAATCAACGGTCGGATTGACCTTTTTAAATACAAGGAACAACTGTCTTTAAGTTTGATGCAAGAGAGGCAACTAAGTGATTGACGCACATGTAAAACGATAGAACAAGCGCAACTCTATATAACTAGACGATACCAGAAAGAAACTGCAAGTCATGAACCACATCTAATATCATGTTTGGAATCCTAGCTTTTAAATCTTCAGAAATCTTCAGCTTGAATAAAAGAGGTTCTGTTCTTATCAAATATTATAACACGTCTGTACTTTTTGTGTTGGCAATGTTTACTTTTTACCTAACATAATGTTAACATTCTTTGAATTATATTCTAAATATTTGTATTAACCTGAGACCACCAAAATCTGTTAAAAATCTAAATATTTGTATTAACCTGAGACCACCAAAATCTGTTAAAAATCTAAATATTTTTATTAACCTGTGACCACCAAAATCTGTTAAAAATCTAAATATTTGTATTAACCTGTGACCACCAAAATCTGTTAAAAATCTAAATATTTGTATTAACCTGTGACCACCAAAATCTGTTAAAAATCTAAATATTTGTATTAACCTGAGACCACCAAAATCTGTTAAAAATCTAAATATTTTTATTAACCTGTGACCACCAAAATCTGTTAAAAATCTAAATATTTGTATTAACCTGTGACCACCAAAATCTGTTAAAAATCTAAATATTTGTATTAACCTGTGACCACCAAAATCTGTTAAAAATCTAAATATTTGTATTAACCTGAGACCACCAAAATCTGTTAAAAATCTAAATATTTTTATTAACCTGTGACCACCAAAATCTGTTAAAAATCTAAATATTTGTATTAACCTGTGACCACCAAAATCTGTTAAAAATCTAAATATTTGTATTAACCTGAGACCACCAAAATCTGTTAAAAATCTAAATATTTTTATTAACCTGAGACCACCAAAATCTGTTAAAAATCTAAATATTTGTATTAACCTGTGACCACCAAAATCTGTTAAAAATCTAAATATTTGTATTAACCTGTGACCACCTGTTAAAAATCTAAATATTTGTATTAACCTGAGACCACCAAAATCTGTTAAAAATCTAAATATTTTTATTAACCTGAGACCACCAAAATCTGTTAAAAATCTAAATATTTGTATTAACCTGAGACCACCAAAATCTGTTAAAAATCTAAATATTTTTATTAACCTGAGACCACCAAAATCTGTTAAAAATCTAAATATTTGTATTAACCTGAGACCACCAAAATCTGTTAAAAATCTAAATATTTGTATTAACCTGAGACCACCAAAATCTGTTAAAAATCTAAATATTTCATGGAAAAATTAAAAGTTTTGTTATTTATATGCAAAACAATTTTCAATCAATTGATTGACTCATATTACAAAAAGGAATGGATATTGTTTACCATGTTAACACTTGATTTCGCCTGATCATAAAACTTAACATTGAACAATGCAGTTACATACTTCAGATTCATTGGGTATGACTACAGACCCAATTTCTCAGAAATACAAATTAAATTTACATCTCTATAAATACCAGTTTTCTATCATAAATTATTCTTCATAAATACATATAGTTTCAACAAGTCTGTTTTGTTTTTTGAAATCGTTTTATGAGTTTGATATCAATTGAAGACTAAGATAAAATATTCCTATTGACGAACAAAATCTGTACTTTCGAAAATATATGTAAACCATTTCTTACAATCTGTACTTCTATTGAGGATTCAATAATTTAGTAAGTAGATGACGACTTTATCATGAGTTATATCGAACATTAAAATTTGTTATTTTTGATGCAGATCTTAAATGAAAGATGACCGCCTACTAAAGTAAACCAAAGTTTAACAAAGTACCAAATTTGAAATTCATGATGATATCTTGTACTTGAAACTGCTTTAAAAATTGGGGGTATATACATTGTACATGCATGCATGGTTAAAGATTTGATGGTCCTATTAAAATACATAATCACCACTTCGTTTAGGAAAATGTCTCGCATAAGACATGGTGGATGATAATAAGATACGGATGTGGCTACCTGAAGAAAAAAAAATGCTGCCGCCACGAGAAATGTTTGAACACATTATCTCCATAAATACACTTAACCAGAAAAGTACATTTTGGTAATGTCAAAGATCCCATTCCAAAGAAACAGAATACTGTAATTGGGAACAGGGAATCGTATATAATACTGTGCGCAACTGAAATACAGTAGTGCTAACACTATACAATACGTCACATATCAATCGTATTCTGAAAGGACCCTTGTCATTAAACAAACTTTTAACAACGTAGGTGGCATGTTGTAAGGCAAACTTTCTTCCATTACCCAACATTCATCATTTTCCAATGGCAGACCTATTTTCCCCGACCTTCATCCCAGTCGACCTTCCCTGCAGAACCTTCTCGTCCTGAATAGGCTCGTAATATTTGCAACTGGACGTTAAGCAAGCACCAATCAGTCAGTTAATCATAATAACGCCGTCAACTAAACGTATACACTGTATTTATAAGTTGTGTAAAAAAGACTTTCTGCAGAATCGTAGCACTATAGACAAATCAGTTCACAGATCTCACAACTGTTTATGTACAGTAGTTTTGTGCATTAAAAACTTAGGAGAGGGTGCTGTTTTAACATGATTAGAATTTAATTAAAAACCTATCGACAGCAAGAGAAAAAAAATCCTACTTCAAATCTATTGGCATAAAGGAGATGGAAGTTTTTTTTTCTGTTTTGAGAAACGTTTACAAAAAAATGCATTCTCTTATGGTTTTGAAAATATCTGTGAAATTTTAGCGGGGAGATTTATTAAAATTTGAAAAATATTTAGATCTTTTTTTAAATAGATCTATATATAGATAACGTTAATCGGCAACAAACTTACTTTTGTTATTCAAATTTATCTGGTCGTTTTAATCTGAACGACCAATCGCTTGACTCGACACATCCAAAATATTTTAAGATTAGTAGGGTTGCAGGGCTGGATTTATCTTATTGTTAATATAAGGTATATATAGTACAAATAATTAATACTCTTTAATCTATACACAATGCACTTATAACATTATGATTTTAGTCAGCATATTGTAGGAACACATAATACACCACGACTGATTAATGCTATACACTAATTATTAAAACAAGAATGTGTCCATAGTACACGGATGCCCCACTCGCACTATCATTTTCTATGTTCAGTGGACCGTGAAATTGGGGTCAAAACTCTAATTTGGCATTAAAATTAGAAAGATCATATCATAGGGAACATGTGTACTAAGTTTCAAGTTGATTGGATTTCAACTTTATCAAAAACTACCTTGACCAAAATCTTTAACCTGCAGTGACCAAAAACTTTAACCTGAAGCGGGACAGACGGACGAACGGACGAACGTACGGACGAACGGACGCACAATATATATATAACAATTTCCAAAAGACCAAAAAAAGTGAAAAAGTCTAGACTAACAGGTCGAACAACTGATGTTCTTAAACCCAAGATTTAAGAACATCAGTTGTTCGACCTGTTAGTCAAATGCGTTTTGTTAAAATAGACTTTTTCACTTTTTTTGGTCTTTTGGAAATTGTTGTTTGTGCAGTATTTAGACCCCTCTACCAAGAAATTTGTTTTACATGCACACGTATAAAAATTGCGGTTTTTATCCAACGCAATCATAGGTTTGAACGTTGTTTTCAATTTAGACTTTTATATATATATAGATTAAGCCACTGCATCAAGTGCGAATCCGATACGATATTTCTCCACTCGAGACAGTTTTTTTTTAATTTAAAACTTCTAACTTATGACAATGGACCATATGGAAAATTATTCATAATATCAACATATATATTATTAACTTACATACAATACTTGTATATAAAAGTATAAATAATCTTTCGACACACAACCCAGATTTTTCATGATTCTTAGATGGTCTAATAATTTAATGCCGTCCCTGAGTTACCTGGGATAAACAAGTTGGTCCTAGTTTCTCCGTTCGTTTGACTATGTGGGATGTATAAATACGCAGCCTCTTCCAGTCGGATAGTTTGATTCACATCCTGTGGTAATTATTTCATTCATATTCAGGACACGAACAAATTAACAATAGATGAGATAACTTCTTAATTGTGCGTCAACCGGGATTAAGGGCGGGAAATTCGGACTGAAACTGGTATTAGGGTATGTTTGGAAGGGACAGAAATTTTGCATTGAAACAGGCCACTAGGCGATCGAAATGGGTCGTGAAAGAAGTCACCATGATGTAAATTCAGCAGTATTTCAATACCACTGCCATTAGCATGTAACTTTTTCCCATGCCATTAAAGACAATTGAATTAATAACAAAGATGCAAGAGCAGGGGAGGTTTTTCTTGGACACGAACGACATGTCAGGAAGCTCTTCGACGTTTTTCTTAGACCTTATCGCTAGTTGGGAGTATGTGTCAGTGACGTCATAAAACACAATTAAACAACAATATATTTAGCATAGTAGCCTCAGAAATATTCCCTGTGATATCAAAATTTGACGGAAATTTCTTTGATGTCTAGTGCTGGTGAACAAATAGCGTATGTGTATTCATTTGTCTGTTTGGTTTCATTCAGAACTTGTCTTAACTCGGGACCATGTAGAGTTTGGCCATCAGGACTACATTCTATTGGTGAATCGTTTGTGACCTCTCCTCACTTTTTTTTGGGTAAACGTGGATGTCTTATTGATGTCTCCCCCTCTTTTATTCATGTAACAAAATGTTTAGATAAAATTATTGTGTATATAGTCTGATAGCTGTGTATTGCCTTCAATTTATGATGTCCATATAATAGTTGGCATCAGCCTTACATAGTATTGAAATAAATTAATAGAGAGTAATAGAGTAGCGAATGATGATTTTATCTTGTACAACAACCTGATTTTGAATCTAAACTGTATACGGATGTACAGAACTTGATTATAACAGTAGCAGGTGCTTTATTTTATTTGATTAACACAGAAACCATTTCTAAAGCATACAGAAAATAACCCGATTGAATTCTCGGCTATATGATTTGTTTATTTTCTCCTATATTGTCCATCATAAATAACAGTTTTAGACAGTAAACAGAAATGTGTTTACTTTGGTGAATAAACCTATTTTACTTTATCATTTATCAAGATTGAAAAAAATAGTATTATTCGAAAAAGGTGACCGTTTTATAGTTTCATTTGCCAGAGTACAAGGGTAACAACACCAGGTTGATATTTTATGTCATAAAAGTGAGTAAACAACTTAAATGTAGGTCACAAACTTACATCACATTAATGAAGTGTAAATAAACGTCATGCAGTTATCTTCTTTTTTTTTATAGGAAGCTGATATAATCCCCTATATATACGTCATCCTTAAATAAAGTTATATAATTGACAATTAACAACCCAGTATCAGACCTTTAACGTAAAACCCTAATTTAAAAGCAACGAACGGTTAAATGTAGGTCAAAGGTTTGGTAGGGTGTTTACTTTTCTCTGCCAATAAATTCCACTCAAACCTATGCTATAGGGACCTGTCAAACTTGCACTGAGGTGAGTGTTTTGCGCCGTTCCATCGCTGGAACTTTACTAAGAAAAGCAATAGAAGCATATTCCCTTTACTCTGGGTTTTGCAAAGTTAATTTTGTTTTTAATGAATTGATATAACATATCCCTTTTTCCAGGATACATTCTTGTCCCAAGTTACATGAGCGTACTATCAGGATATAACATTAAAAAGTAATGCAAACTTGTGTTCCCCTAGATGTATATCATTCATAAACCGTTCATTACAACTAGTGTCAGATTCTATTATAATCTAAAACAAAAAAATTAAAACAATAAACAATTGATTTCTTAATTCAAACAAAAAATTACATTAACCATTTTGACTCAGGAATATTATGGTTGTTCGAAAATATTTAGAATATTGCAAACAATATTAAGATACCAAAGTACAAATATAGTTTCATCAGTTACTGCTTCCACGATTAAATTGATGTAAATTGCAATCCTTAATCAAGTTCCTGCTGTTTTCATGTTGAATATGTCGACAATATTACAATGGAAGAAATTTTTATTGACATGAATGAAGAGTTTGATACTGAAAATTTATTGTTAGAAATAAAGCACAAGAACGAACTAAAGAATGTATGTTAAAGTTTATTGTTTCAATAAACAGGCCGCACGGTTGCCTATAATTGCTGTATCTACTTCATTTGAACTTTTGGTGGATAGTTGTCTCATTGGCAATCATACCACATCTCCTTATTTTTATATAAAAAGTAATTATAAATTATATGTTCCAAGTCGGTTATAGGTTAGTCTTAATGTTTGCTGTTTACACTCATATTCCTTGTTTAAAGTTCCAATGTTTTCTTGTATGTGTTTTACTGACACCGGTATGTATATATTTTATATGGAAGGAGATGATATAAGTAACAATACCTACTACATGATTAATTGCAATAAAACCTTAGTATAATAATAAACTGGCCAATATGTCATGTTGACAACAGTTCATCATATATATGAGCAATAACAATACGAAATTGGGGAATTCTAAAATGAATTTTCAAATTCGTTGCAAATATGATTCATACTTATATTACTATGAATGTATTTGTCATATATTTGATTATGTTTTGTGGATGGAAAGGGGGTTGTAGAAAATGTAGCAATCAGTTACCATTTTCAATTGGAATATTCACACTTGGGTTTTATTATTACAAATCAGTCTCTTGTGCTTTGTACATCAAATTTCTGATCATCAAAAACATCAATATCAAACTTAACAGAAGCGTGACCAGATTCTGGGTTTAAATTCTGTAATGAAATATTAAAAAACATAGACATTTAAACAAGTTAATAACATGTGTGCTTCGTAACCACAAAAACTTTTTCACAAAAATTACGTACCTTACTTAATATATTTTCTTCAAAACTTTGCCTATGTTTACACATGATAGTATTTGTTAGTGCTAACTTCCGTTATTTTGTGTAGCTGGTACACATAATTTAAAATGAATTCACACGTTTCTACCTTTGTAAACATTTTTATGTAATATCACTCAGGTGAGGGTTCATTTAAAACATATGTCTGACGGAGTGGGGTGTAAGACGTTTATATCTGGTTTCTTTAGTAATACTCCGCGTGTTATCATGTCTGTTTAAAATTTAACCAAACAAACATAGATTCTTTTTTATTTTCTGAAATGAAAATCCTGATTAACAAATTAAACCATTCCAACAACCTATAGTTCATCAGCACTTTTCTTTTGACTATCAAGATCAAGTACAACTAGTACTTTTTATAATGTACGTATTTTTGACATAAGTTTAAGTCCACATCTAGTGAACTCATTGCACAAGATCATGTTTTGACAATAACGTCTTTACACTAGATCCATTAACCGTGTACTGAGGGTATTTAAGTCTTTGATTCATCATTTTTCTATTTAGTTATTATTGGTTTTCAACTAGCTTTCGGTAATTGCAAGAACTCTCAGATCGGTACTTTGTGTCTTAAGTCTTTTTGTGAGTTTTTAAAGTGTGCTTTGTTTCGATATAATGAGGCAAACCTTTTTTCATCTGATTTTTATTTTCTGATCTAATGTTGTGCTGTTAATCCACTGTCCTAGGTTAAGGGTGGGGGAAACCAACAAAATATATATATATCCTCGCCTCATTCTGTATGTGCTGTTCCTAGAAGCCTGTAATTCAGTCGTTTGTTGCTGTATTTCATATTTGTTTTTCGTTTATTGTTTTGTACATTGTCAGGTCGTTTGTTTTCTCGTTTGAATTGTTTCACATTAGTCATTTCGGGGCCATTAGAGCTTTCTGTGCAGTATGGGTTTATCTCATTGTGTAAGGCCGTACGTATGATATTTGCTAACTTCTACATTGTACGTCATTTGGTCTCTGGTGGAAAATTGTCACATTGACAATTATACCACATCTTATTTTTACATCATTTAAATTTTGTCATTACCTTATTTAAACGATCACAAACAAGTTTTGTATATATATACTTTTTCAGAATCGTGTTGTATTTTTTCAGACTGGAGTGAAATAATCTAATTCATGTCCGCTATAGCTCATGAAATAGTGAAATCAAATATATAAAACATATGGAACAGTAAACCAAGAAGGCCTATTTCGAAAAAAGCCTATAATAATTGACTACTTACTTATTTTGTGCAGTAAGGTAAAGTATATAATGTTATGGATTTTTTATGCCACAGATGACCACGGATATGTCCCAATTGTCGTAAGCAAAATCCCGTCCTCTTTGCCTTGGTTCTGACATCGCCGAATGCGACTCATCGCCTAATTTTTACTTGCTATGAGCAACACGATGGCTGCCAAAAGTGGAACAGGATCTGCTTGTCCTTCCGGAGATCCTGAGATCACTCCGTTTGTGGAGGGGTTCGTGTTGCTCAGTCTTTTAGTTTTCTGTGGAGTGTTTTGCATACTGTTGTTTGTCTTTTTTGTCGTTTTTATTTATCGTCATGGTATTGTCTGTTTTTCTTCGACTTATGACTTTTGATTTTCTCCCTGGTATCTACTGTCTCTATTTCTAACATGTATGATATTAGATATTGATCATGAATGCTGTTGCAAAACAAATTTACAGTACATTTACGTACAAATAATACGTTTGATGTTTGATTCAAAATTTGACTGCATTATATGTAAACTACATTGATAGCTACCGAGCTGTATAAATAAATATAAATCACTTGTTATCATATAACTTTAAATTATATGAGTAGAAACACGCACATTGAATTGTATGGAAACACATACGTAATAAAGAAAGACTATATTCAAATATATATAAAAATCAGGTAATTAGAAAATAATATATTAGCATCATTGTTCTAACGTTTTGATCCTTCACGGGACTTTTCCAAGATGTTGAAAAGTCCCGTGAAGGATGAAAACGTTAGAACAATGATGCTAATATCTAATTTTCTACTTATATGATTTTTGTTTTTTTTTATGAATATACGAATCTGTACACGACTTGATTTAACATTTTATTAATATATATAAATATATGAGAATGTTACACCTCCCGAAACGAAAGCTGATTTTAATCAGCTATAGTTAGAGGAGGTAATATAAAGGCAACTGCGCAATGCTAGGCGGTGTACAGGTTCCAGCCCCGGTCGGGGAGGAAGTAAACTGATCTACTCTATCATTGTCAGGTTGATTTTCTAGGCACTTTATATATAGATATATATATATATATGTATCACCGGAGAAAATATTGTATTTCGGCACACTACGTAAAATATGAGTATTCATACAAAGCGTTTTATTAAGTTCAGGAACCCACATGACACCCAAACCTTTTATATGCAAGGCGGTACAAAAATTGTGAAATGCTGTTTGAAGATATATTTTATGAATGTATATTACTATTTCTGAGATATCTACATGATCCATCAATCAGAAATGCATGTTCCAAGTACAGTGAACCTTTTACAAAGATTATAAAGAAGCACTTTATGACATAGGTTAACCAATGCATGGTACAGACTGACTTATTGTCTAATCAAGGTTAATTATTAGTACGTTACTCTAAACAATCATTGATTTTATTGATCGATAGATACGATAATTTCCATTGTTTATAGACATTGATATAAAGAGGAATTGCGATTACAATCAGCAATCTACATTTGGAGTACAATATATCGTAAGGGAACTTTTAAGCATGTATCCGACTAATGTTTATTTTCATATTTGATACTTTAATTGATATTTGCATGAGACATAATGGACCATATTACGCTGAGGTTATAGAACGATTTACAATAAATAGAACTTCACTATAGGAAACAAGTAATTCTAACAGTTATCAGTATATATAGGTTGTAAATACAGTGTAAAACAAAAGTTACCCGATGTAACAACTTATGTATTCTCATCATTCGCGATGAATATTTTTCATGTGTAGTCGATAAGAAATAAAAATGGTTTCGTTCCTGGTAAGATAAACCTTAGAATTAATGCTCATAATAGAACATTGGTTTTAGTTTTGGTTTGTTCCGCCATTTAAAGCTTTCACCAGTCACTATGTTATTGTAACTATGTCCATGTCATTTAGAGTTTTCCAATTAATGAAGTGACAATTCAATATCCCGATAATTATGCCAAAACACACTCATAAAGTGCAAATATACATATAAACAACAGACAAATTACTACATCATATAAAACCTTGTACAATACAAACATTCATAAATGCAGGGAGCGATATCTATTTCAAACAACACCAACCTTAACTAGGAGTGATATATGATCTGGAAGGGAATAACTGATTTACTTGAAGTAAAGTACTCCAAACTTTGATCGATATCTGCTCTGACGTATTGACAAACAGATCAAACATGAACTTTTAACCCTTTTATTAAAAAAATAACCGCATTGTTTGCAAACTTCATTGCTTGTTGTATAAATACTTTCAATAATATGACTTGAAACACACGATTGAAAACGTTTCTATGTTTCACATTTTGTCATGGCAGGGGCATTTTATAACTTTCTTTACGGTTTGGAATTTCTTCATTGTTGAAGGCGATAAAGTGACCTATAATGGATGTTTACATCCTTGTCCTTTTGGTCTCTGGGGAGTAGTTGTCTCATTGGCAATCATACTACATCGCCTTATAAGTTAAAATGAGAGTGATATGTGCTTATATACTAGTATATATATATTATTCTGAAAAAATCTTTGTTGATGGTCTTGAAAGGGAAATTACTGGGAGATATATATGCTCTAAGGGAGATAATTAGGAATTATGTATACTTTGGAATGAAAGAACTGGGGGAATATATACTTTAGAAGACCGGACAGAAATGGGAGCCATATATGCTTATGATTGAAAGACTTGGGATTGATATATGCTCTTGAAGGGAAAGCACGGGGAGCGCTATATCATAATGTTGTTGAAGGAGAGAATTGGGAGTTATATTTGCTCTTGAAAGGAAAGAACGGGAAGCGCTATATCATAATGTTGTAGAAGGAGATAATTTGGAGTGATATTTGCTCTCGAAGGAAAAGAACGGTAAGCGCTATATCATACTGTTGTAGAAGGAGAGAATTGGGAGTGATATTTGCTCTTGAAGGGAAAGAACTGGAAGCGCTATATCATAATGTTGTAGAAGGAAAGAATTTGGAGTGATATTTGCTCTTGAAAGGAAAGAACGGGAAGCGCTATATCATAATGTTGTAGAAGGAGATAATTTGGAGTGATATTTGCTCTCGAAGGAAAAGAACGGTAAGCGCTATATCATACTGTTGTAGAAGGAGAGAATTGGGAGTGATATTTGCTCTTGAAGGGAAAGAACTGGAAGCGCTATATCATAATGTTGTAGAAGGAAAGAATTTGGAGTGATATTTGCTCTTGAAAGGAAAGAACGGGAAGCGCTATGTCATAATGTTGTAGAAGGAGAGAGTTGGGATTGATATTTGCTCTTAAAGGGAAAGAACGGGAAGCGCTATATCATAATGCTGTAGAAGGAGAGAATTGGGAATGATATTTGCTCTTGAAAGGAAAGAACGGGAAGCGCTATATCATAATGTTTTAGGAGAGAATTGGGAGTGATATTTGCTCTTGAAGGGAAAGAACGGGAAGCGCTATATTATAATGTTGTAGAAGGAGAGAATTGGGAGTGATTTTTGCTCTTGAAGGGAAAGAACGGGAAGCGCTATATCATAATTTACTCATGATGGGTGAGCAAAACCTGATTTCGCAAGAATTAATAATCCCAGTGCCAAGTTGTAATTAAATGATATTGTTTTTGTTTTCTTTTTAAAAAATCGTGTTTAGATTTAACACACATTTTTACGTACAATGCAGAAGGTATATAATAAGAGCCATTATCATACACAAGCCTTCAAAAAATCAGTCAATTTTATTGATAAATGATTAGGACGACATAGAAAATGCGAAAGTGTTTTGTGTCTCTTGAACTGTTCTAGGATAGAACTGTCAGAATCTGTTCTACAGTAGAAAATTGTCAGAATAATGTTCTAGAGTAGAACAG